ATATTTCTTTCAAATTTAAGATGACTATTGTTTATCATAAAATTAAATTGTATTAGGTAAATGTGACTTCTAAAATCATTTTGATGTGACTTGAGAGAACATACTAACTAAATGGGTTGATGAGATTAAACAATTTGTGGCCCTTTTTATGAAATATAGAACATAATTTTTTGATGGGGAAAAAACAGTGGCTCCACTTGTACAGACACAATTTAAGAAAAAATATTGGACTCATACTAATTAGAGATGGATCAGTCAGTCCGACTCCAACCCATTACCAATGAAAGCTGAAAACATGCTAAACTGTACTGCAATAATTCAAGATACTCTGCAAACTATAATATTCCTCAATTTTCCTTTACTGTTCTACTATTCTGACTGAGGGCAGATAAAAAACACATGAAAGCCATGTAATTTCTTTTAAATGCACTACAACATCTTGCATGTGGAGCTAAATTCTCATTGCTTTGCTCATACAAAAAGGCCCACTGAGGATAGGGGAACTTCTTGGGTACAAATATACATATAATTTATCTGATTGGTATATATAACAATTCTAATAGAAAAAGCATTTTTTCATATCCAAAGCCCACAGCCTGAATTAGTGGGGTCAGCAATCTCAAGTCTTCAGAATGTTTAAGTATTCTAATTACTCATGTATTTCTAAACAGCACATACCTTATTTGTCATTCCAGGGTCAGGGCCAAATTTAACATAAATGAAAATATAGCGCTTATGAAAGCTGCCAATAGGTCAGTCCTGGAGCTGGACTTCCTTGTTTATCCATAGAACAAATATGTATCAAGTATCATTCCATACTGTCTGGCTCTTCTAGAGACCCCTTGCGTAAACCTGGTCAAATCACTCAAACTCTCTTTGTCTCAGTTCCTTTCTGTAAAATGGGAATAGCAATGCTTTCTTCTTCCACCACTTGTCTAACCAATATAGTCATATGTAAGTTCTTTGAGACAGGGACGATCTTTCTTACCTGCTTGTAAAATAAGGTCCTGATCTTAGTTGGGGCCTCTAGTTGCTACTGTAATGCAAATAGTTATTATTAGTATTTTTATTGTTTTTGTTGTTAATAATAATAAATCAGTTAAATCAATAATAAGAAATAATATGCAGACACTACACTCTGTACTAATATCTACCAATTATGTTGATGGTTTATGGGATGGTTTATGTGATGTACTCATTGCTGATTAATATAGGGCCTGATTTCCAGTCTGACCTCAACTGCATCTGTTTTATCACCTGCAGTTTGGTAGGTACGGATACCTTTAGCTGTAATTTTTTCAGCATTATTATTAGTGAATGCAACTGTTTCCATTTAAGGCTGTAATTTTCAAAGGAACCAAAGAAATTGAATTTCAGCTCTTACGCGATCATGAATGACACATGCCCCCGGCGGCTGGGGGGGCACAGTGGTGGTGAGAACGCGGCAGTGGTAAACGTGGGAGCTCCTGCAGATGCTGCTGGCACTGTTGGCAGCAGGGGCAGGGGGGGAGACGGCAAGTGCTGACCAGGGGTCAGCGACCACCTGCAGATGCTGCCAGCAGCGGTGGCAGCAGCCACCAGGGATCGTGCAGCAGGGTGGCAAGTGGTGACCACCCACAGGCACCACCGACACTGTTGGCAGTGCCTTTTTGTAGGGGGTGCACCGCCACACTTAGGGGGTGCATGTGCACCCATGTGTACCCTCTATGCATCGCCCCTGTTTGCAATGACCCTTTTTATACCAAAAATTAATTATATGTGAGGTAAAGTCACTCTTAGGTGATCAGTGTGGTGGAAGCCACACATTGTAGTCAGCTGCTTTGTGCAGTGCATTGTGGGAGTCACATGCACCAAAATATAGTTTCCTATGTGGATTTGTACTCCACGCACATTGTCTGCGACCCATGTTTCTGTAGTTGCCATCCCCATTATGATAGTGCCCCATGCTTGTGTATACTGTCTGCAGTTGGTGAGTACCAAAATTGTCTTGTAAAATTGGTAGAAATGGATCTGGGGGTCAGTACAGTCAAGGTCTTGGAACTTATCCCTATTTGTTACATTGTAAAGTGGGTTCCTTTTATGCAAATTCGAGTGCTGATTTACATTGTAAAGTGGGTTCGTTTTATGCAAATTATGTGCTGATTTCCAGGAACGCATGAAAAGCATAAAGCGAGGAAAACCTGTACTTGCATGTCTAAATGACAGCAGTTACACCTGCAATTCTTTGCACTTGGAATATTGTAGAAGCCAAAATAAAGGTGTAGTCAAAACAGGGCTCAAAATCAGGCACTAAATTCATTAGCAATGGGGACAATGGTCTTTCTTTTCAGAATTTATGATACAAATTTTGCCATATATTTTAGTACAAGGACCCTTGGTGGACTTTTTTTTTCCTTTAGGGCAATAGAGTTTGGGACTCACCATCAAGGCTTCAGAACTGAATCATCTAAGTAGCTCCCATAAAGGATCTAGAATTATTCATGTGGGCTTAATAAACAGGGGGCCAAATTTTTCCTTTGGAAGTGAATGACTGGCAAGCACATGGAGAAACAGGAGCTGAGTTTTCAATATCCATTCCATAAAACCTATACCATGGTAACTGATTGAATATGTAACACTAAAGCAGAGTTTCCACATTTGGATGTTCATAAATGTAAGCCAGTTGTGTCATGTTAGACTTTACAGGACTCAGAACCGTCAAGGTTAGTTCTACATTGTTGTGTAAACCCCGTTTTTTTTTTTACTAACGTAAACATTCTGGCCAGTATCCAAAGATATGACCTCTATGTGAACCTTTAACCTTCCCTTTAATTATTTGTTTGAAGACAGTGTGGAGTTCTCCTGCTGAGAATGGAGAACCATAATGCCTTGCAGCCCTCTGAGTAAGGGAGTGTTTGTAGGGAAGTGGAAAGGGACATAAATAAGGGGACCACCAGATGTAAATAATAAAAGTGATTGGGGTTTAAATAAAAACTGAAAAAGCAATTTGGTTTCCCTAAAGAGTGGCCAGATCGCTGAAAATAGGGGTTAGTAAGAAAAAAGTGGGGGAGGCTCTGTTGTCTGTGATTTTTTTTACAGGCCTATACAACCATTCATTCCATTCTTTAAAACCTTGCCATCTGTATACACCATTAGGAGCTCATAGGAGAAGAGAAAACAGTCTTATCAGGCTTTTCTGTTAATCTCTATTGGCCTTAACCTTAGCTGATAAAAGGCATGCTGGATAGAGAAGGTTCAGGTCAGCCCCCATTTGGTCAGTGGGTAACATTACTAGAAAGCAGCTAAGCAAATTAAGTCCTATCAGAGACCTTTGTCTTTGATGATGGAAACGTGTCTAGAAATCATAATGTTAGGGTAGGAAATCCAAGCCCCCTTCCCCCCCATGGTGAAATCATAGCTAGCTGAGGGAATAAACAACAGAATCAAATCTTTGTTTTTATTTTTAATACCTGAAGTCTTGACTCTTTACTAATTCAGAGGCAGGATGACATTTTTGACAACGGAGCTATACTTTTCTTAAAGAATAAAGAATGTCTTTGTTTTGGATGTAAACAGAGAGATGCAAAAGAGCCCTTTAGTGTTACTTACAGCATTTATTCATCTCTCTGATGGAATTCCCACTAGTATGATCACAGGAGATGCAAACAAAGGTGTACTGTCTCTTATCTGCCATGGACTTTAACCTGGGGGGAAGAGCAGCACAGCAGCCGGTACTGCTTATTTCTGATGCCCAATACTTTAAGCATTAGACTTTTATGCACCGGGCTGATGAACTGAGGTTTCACTTGCGGACTGAAAAATTTGGATTCATTTCAGTGGGGTTTGGATCAGGCCCAATGGCAATGCATGGAAGCTGTTTGGGATGATGGGCATGTTAGTATTTCTGAAGAGGATTAAACACTAGTATTCAACTTCATTAGCGCTCCTTAAGGGTCACTAGACTGAAGTCTGAACTGTGAAATAGCAGACAAAACCTCTACATCAGCTCTAAAGTGTTCTTAAAACACAAAGGGCAGGGACAAAAACAAGTGTGGCTTGTGACTGATAGAAAATAGCCTTGTTGTGAATAAAGTGTGTGAATAAAATAAGTTTTTAAAATTATTCTCCTCAGTTTGATTTTATTGCAGTTTGAGCTAAGAGGGGTGGTTGTGCATTAAGCTAATAGGAAATATGCAAACACTTCTTTTTGGATTACCGATGAAATTAAATCCAGGCTTTCTGGCCAAATAACCTAATGTTCACATGCATCGGTCCCTACTACAGCTCTGGTACCTGGTTTGTGAAAAAGTTATTTTGGGCCTAATAGTAAACACATGTACCTGTGACTCCCTTTTTCTAACAAGTTGAAAGGTGCCTCCATTTACGGCTGGCCATTGCCTTATGTTCTGCCCTGGCCGCCCCCCCTCTTGGCTGAAAAGGTCGCCCCCAGCTGGCACTGACCTCGAAATGACCCCTGACTTTACAGGCTTAAACTGCAGGAGTTGCAGAAGAGCAGAAGTCTTTCTGGGCCAGCACTTATTGCTGCTGTGCTGGTGATAAAACTTCAGACAGCCTAATTGATGGCTTTGCTGACCTAACAATACCTTGTGAAAGCACAGAGTGGCAAAGCCTGGTCCTCATTTATGGCCAGCTGCAAGGGTAGCTGAATCCCCTATGATGAAAAAAAAGTCTTCTTGCCTGTGAACTTTAACCAGATCCCTAGCTCCTCGAAGAAGTTAAAGAAACAATTGTCTTTTAACACAAGTTTTCATTCATGTTTACTTGTTGTTCCGAGCCTTCTAGTAAATCCAGCCTAAAGCTGGCCAGTAAGATAAGCATTTTACAAGTTACAGTTTCTGAGCTCTTAGACAAAAACGCTTTAAAGTACAATTATGCTTTTTTTTTCTCCGTTAACATACCGCTGCCTTGCACTGAAACTCTGCCAGAGTTAAAGCAAAGGTGTTCTAAAAACACAGAAGCAAGCTGATGAAAGGACTTCTATTCTTTGTATTCTGTTTCAG